CGATAAGGACCAGGAAACGGGTGAGGGTGGGGTGGTGTGGGAAGGGAGTTTTCCAGAGCATTGAGTAGCTGCTGCACATGTTAAAAATTGGCAATGCAGACTATCTGTGGTTCTGCTTGGAGCTGCTATCAGAATTTAGGATCCACCAAGAACAAGGGACTGACAATGAAGTCTGAAAGAGCACCTGCTGAGAAAGAGTTATGTGGGCTCTAAGAGACCAAGGATAAATACATGAAAACATTACTTAATGAATCAGGATATGTGTCTCCTAGGACTTTTTATAATAATAGATCATCTGCCTAATTCCATGCTACTCTCCTCCCCTTCTAATAAAGAATACTAGAGTCCCGGTGCATGAAAATTCATGCACTGGAGGGGGTGGTCCCTCAGCCCGGCCTGTCCCCTCTCTCAGTCCGGAAGCCCTCGGGGGTGGGAGGCGACCCGGCGATCAGGGGACAGCGATGCCCCTATCACACCTCTGCTGGCAGCGCAAGCCTCGGTCGTCCCTGGTTACCTGAGCCTCAGGCAGCCCTGGGCAGCTGGGCAGCTGCCATCCAAGGCTTGCCTGTGCCTCAGGTTGGCCCTGGGTGGCTGGAGGGCTGAGGGGGCTGGAGGACTCTGGAGGCAGGCGTGTGGAGTGGACGGGCCCACCTGGAGGCAAGCGTGGCCTTACCGTGTGCCTGCCACCCCGGCGGGGCTGAGGAGCCTGGGCACTGTCATCTTGTGGCTGTGGGCACGGCCATCTTTGAGGGTGGGATAGCCAATTAGCATATCTCCTCCTTATTGGCTGTGGGTGCCACCATCTTTGTGATGGTGTGAGGATCCATTAGCGTATTCCCTCTTTTTGAGATACGATTCACTGGCAAACTAACAATATTCAGTGTCTACTTCCTGCCCATGAAGGAGACAGGGAATATGAGCAAACTCATCATCTCAACCATAAAGCAGAGGGCCAGGGGTGTAGACACAATGAAAAGGGTCTGACGGCCCGAGTTCCACAAAAAGTAGAAAAATTAGAGCTTCTCAGGGAGGCCCCAGTTCTCGTCCTGGCCCTGGGGGAATCAAGGAAAACTGCTCCCTGAACTGAAAAAGAAGCATCTCCGGGGCTGGAAGGAGCCATGAGACCCCGAGCAGAGGTTCTAGTACCTTCCAGTCTAGCTTTCAGGAGGGCATTTCTCTACTGACTTGGCAACAGATAACTCCGCTGAACGCTTTTTAGGGGGGCCTCCATCCCACCCCACCCCCCAACACATTGAGAGTGACCCCAGCTCAATTCTCTCATGGCACAATTCTGGATCAAGCTCCAATTACCTAAGGAAGACACAGGAACTTGGGTCTTCCTCTTGAACCATCTCTGTGTCACACATACATACATACCCCCTGTCCCTGACACACCAACACGTGTTGAAGGGGTCCCTCTTCCTGAGTAGCAGGTTGCTCGCTGCCATCCCTTCTCTATACATCAGCACTCTCTGAGCTGCTTTGATCTACCTCCCAAAGGGCCTCTTCCTTCCCCAACCCCCAGTCTTAATGGCACAGTCTCCTTCCCTAGCTTCCCCAAGTGTGATGCTTTTGGCGGAGTCTAGTGCTCTCACATACCTCTAGGTCATTCCAAGTGCTCATCCCCAGGTAAAGTATCAAATTTGAATCTCCAAGGAGACGCACCCCCCACCCCTCAACACACACACACCTGCAGAGTTGCCCCCATCTGAAGTCATCCTCTCAGGTTTGGGCACTACCCCTGGCTGTCTAGAAGAAGCCTCCAGAATGAGAAAGTCGGGTCCAGGCCCCAGAGAATAACCTAGCTCCAGTAGATACACAGGGATCCGAGGAGGGAAGGGTAAAGATAAAATCAAAACAGAACTAGAATCTAGGACTTAAGGCATTCTATAGTGGGGGAGGGGAGAGGGACATGTCGGGTGGAGGTAGGGAGATACTCCACAAGGGGCTCTGGTAAATTGGCAGCAACTAGGAACTTCTTCTGAACCAGAGTTTGGCAACACAATTGTTGTGTGCCTCTTCAGGGCAAACTGTAACTTTTTCTCAGAGTCCCGACATTATATTTTACATCTGTATTCCCTATACAATTGTTCATCAGTATATTTAGTTTTGTGCCCTTCAATCTCACCCAGTTCTGTAACTGACTTCCTATTAATAGCAGGTTGTGGCAGACCCTTGATTTAATTCAGTGTTGGCTATATTTTCTTTTTTTAAAAAATATTTTTTATTGATTTTTTTACAGAGAGGAAGGGAGAGGGATAGAGAGTTAGAAACATCGATGAGAGAGAAGCATCGACCAGCTGCCTCCTGTACACACCCCCACTGGGGATGTGCCCGCAACTAAGGTACATGCCCTTGACCAGAATCAAACCTGGGACCCTTCAGTCCACAGGCTGACGCTCTATCCACTGAGCCAAACCGGTTAGGGCTGGCAATATTTTCTGAACCAACTCAAAATACATTCCATAGGGAATGGAATATCTGAAATTAGGATTGTCTGGAAAGATCCAGAGTGTTTGGCTGCTATGTGCATATCATTTCCTTGGGAAGCTGTCCTGCAGTTCCCAAACAATCCACTACCATCAGCTCTATAGTCCACCGAAGGCTCACCCTTAACCCTTGACAGAAAATCCCCACACTGGCATATCAAAACCAAAAAGTCCTTTTGTCTGTTACTTTTTTGTTTAAATATTTTGTTAAATCATTTTTTAAAAAATATGTTTTTATTGATTTCAGAGAGAAAACGAGAGAGAGAGAGAGAAACATAAATGAGAGAGAATCATTGATTGGCTGCCTCCTGCGCCCTTCCCCCTCCCCGGCTCCCCCTAATAGCAATGAAGCCAGCAACGCAGACCGGAATCAAAATGTAGCCTCCATAGGTGGGCGCTCAACCACTGAGCCACGCTGGCTGGGCTGTTAAAGAATTTTTTAAATGTTTTTTATTATTTAAACGTTTTTGTTGACACTACTGCAGATGCCTCCATTTTTCCCCTCCCCCCTTGGCCCACCTCCACCCAGTTCCCGCTCCTCCCCGCCCCCCACCTTGGTCCTCACCACACTATTTATTGTCTGTGTCCGTGGGCTATTCATATATGTGTAGGGTTTGTTTTTTTCATTTTTGTTGACAGTATTATAGAAGTCCCCTATTTTCAGTCCTCTTTCTCCTGCATCCAGCCCCTGCCCCACTCGAGGCCTTCACCACGCTATTGGTTCTAAAGTAAAAGTACGCAAGACCGCAAACAGCAGTCTACCTCGCACTCCTTTCTTCTGGAACTCAAGTACTTTGTCTTAAAGCAAACCAGGATTATGTTTATTGTGAATCCTTGCAGAGATATTTTATGCAGTACAAGTAAATCTGTCTGTATCATTACATTTATATTCTTTTTTTTTTTCATGACAATGCAAGTCAGATATTTTAATGTAAAGTTTTTCAGGAACGCATATGTCAGGTGTTGAATTAAATTGAGCATCATTGAAAGACTATTTTAGAATAAAAGCTAAAACAGAAACAGGACGTTACATAGATTGCTGCTTCTTTTCCAAACACTTCTCAATATCATCAAGCACTCGAACAGCAACCTTTGAAATTCGCGTCCCAGGACCAAGTACTTTGGAAACACCAACTTCAATCAAAAATTCATTACCCTGTGGTTGTATCACCCTTTCACACATGACTATATTCCTTTTTTTAAAAAGAGTTTTCAGGTTTTACATAAAAGAAATATATATTCCAATGCTCTTGCGATTATAAGTAATACTACAGCCGCCATCTTTGTAATGTTATCTGAGTTCCAATTTTCAATTCTTTAAACCGGAGCCGTATTAAGAGAATTTCTACGTTCTTTAAAATATTCAAAATACCCCTAGGAAGTAGATCTTATTATGCTATTATTAGTTACTCACCACTATAAGAAAGAGCCCTGAATTCGTGGTAGAGGCCTGAGTTTGAACCTTGGTTCGACCACTAAAGCATACTCCACCAGTCTCATAAGACAACTGCACGCTCTCCTTGCTGTATTCAATACCCATCATGCACTCTTACCGCCAATACTTTAAGATAGGGCTGGGGGAACCGGATATAAAAGAGGGGAGGAGAGAAATCTTTCTTTCTTCTCTAAAGTAAAGGGGCTCTGAATCCTGGCGCCATTAGTTTTCCCAGGCACTAGAAACCCACTGCCAATGAAATGGGTGTACATTTTTTGATAAAGAAAGGATTCTATTCAATAATGTTTATCCCTTATCTGTCCCTACCCCCCTGTTAACGCTTAGAAATGTCTGGCACACAACTGGGCACCTTTCACGTGTCTTAAAAAAACCTACAAGGTTGCAAAATGGGCGCCAATGGCTGCAAGGTTGCAACTTGGTTGCAACTGGGCCAAGCCCTGCACTAGTGCGACGCCTTCTGCCTCACTGGAGGAAGGCGCACAATTGACTACATTTCCCGGCATGCCTTGAGAGAGATTTCCGGCTATACCGGAAGAAAGTTGGCGACCACGTGAGGCCCTCCGTAGACCGAGAAGTGCAGACGGAATTGGAACCTCCTGCTTCAGCGAGATCATGTTTCTCCAGTATTACCTCAATGAACAGGGAGACCGGGTCTATACCCTGAAGGTGAGGAGAGGGAACAGATGTACATGGGCTTGGCGAGAATTGTAGGTGGGAGGAGAGGTTGAGATTAGCCACCGAGTTGCCTAGCTGGGTGAGGGGAACTAGCCAGCCCAGAAGCCTGGCGTGGTGGAAGCTGGGGTGTAGGACTGCTTGTTGTGACCACTCGAGCGTCCTGTCTTCCTGTTGACTCTGTTTCGCGGGTTCCTTTCCCTATCCCAACCTCCATGTCTCTTACGATGCCGGTGATTGCGTTTTCTTATCACTCCTTTCCTGAGATTATGTCCTCTCTTTTCTTCCTCGAGCAGAAGTTTGATCCTATTGGACAACAGACCTGCTCGGCCCATCCTGCTCGGTTCTCCCCAGACGACAAATACTCTCGACACCGAGTCACCATCAAGAAACGTTTCAAGGTGCTGATGACCCAGCAGCCGCGCCCTGTCCTGTGAAGGTCCCTTAAATTTCATGTCTCTCCTGCCACCGGCGACCCCTCTGAGACTTTTCCGAAACCGAGCTTTTCAGTCTGTGATCCTTGAGGCCTTCTTACCACCCTTGCTCTTTGGAATCGGTGTCGTCATTACCTTAGATCATGCTTGTGGGGAGCAATCATGGTAGCACCCCCCCTTTAAGAAAACAAGTTTGAGTCTGCTTTTCGTGTTTTGACTGCCACGTTATTAAAATGATTTGAAAGAGCTCTTATTTTGCATGTGTGGGGGGAAAAAGAGTGGTTTAAAAATAAAAACACGAGGAAGGTGAGAAGGAAGAGCAACCCAGGGGTACATTTGGAAGAAAATCTTAAAACTGCTGTAGCTGGAGTAGTGCTATACTGTTAGTGATAGGAGGGTGTTGGGGAAGGGAAGGTTGAGAAAGACTCACATAATTGGCATTCACTGAACAATACCCCTAGGGTCATGTAAGTAATTTCTTGCCCCTTGAAATGACATTTTGACTCAAAATGGAAGAGTTGCTTGACAGGTAATATCCATATTGTAAAGGGAAGGCAGTGTATTGGAAGTCAGGAGACCAGGATTTTCCCCTCTTTGTATAACTTTAAGAAAGTCACTTAACCTGTTTAGTCCCATTTTTCTCATCATTCCTAAGTTCTCTTTCAACTCTAAAATGATTTGGATCAATGGTGGACCTTAATTTACCTACAGTGTTGTCTAACCGTTGTGAATATTTATGCATATTTACTGCCCCTCTGGTAATATTCCCAGGCTTTTAGTTCTCTTCAAGGAATTGCCCTCTTACAGTAGGTACCTAATTTTATATTCTCTCTGGCAGCTGGCTGCTATGTGGAACTACATAGATCTTAATTTAAAAGATGAGATACAAGAGATTCAAGCAGAGATTTTGTTTCTTAAGCTACTGTTCGGGGTTAATAACAAATATACTGGGTGAGTTTTGGAGCAGCTGTCATGAAGCAACCATGAAATTTTAATCCAATTACTTTATATTAAAGGAAAGATAAGACAAAATATTGAATATGGGTATTCAAAAAATGCTAGCTTGTTTTTTTTTTTTGTCTCTCTCTCTTTGTCAAGTTAATCTTATTTCCCAGTCTTCTCATTTATGGCTTTTGACATTGGATTTGAATGTTTGCTTAATGCCACAGATTAAAAAATTGCTTTGTGGAGATTGTGTGCTAATTACACATTATTTTTTTATTGCATCAAAATTTTAGACTCCAGAAGCAGATGTAACTTAAATTAGTGCAGTTTGATTTATTTAAAATTGGCCCTGAAATGGGATAGATATGCTTCTCTTGAATTCTGAAGTCTGCGCATCCCAGCAGAAAAATTCAGGATAATTGTTGACTGATGAGAGAAAAACAGTCTAAACTTGGGTCAAAGTTAATGGAAGACATGATTTTCAAATCAATTACTTTAACTTACAGGAATAATGAAATACTTGTTT